TGTGTGTCTTTTTAAAGGATATAAGTTATGTTATTTTAATTTTTTACTCTATGAACTATCGGTACTCTGTAGGATATAGTTGTAACATGAAAAGTTCTTTTTTTCACTTTTCACGTTAGCTGATGTGATTGAGTAAAGAGAAAAAAAAAAGAACATTTTCATATTATAACAATGTACTACCAATAGTACATAGAGTAAAAAATTAAAAGGACACAACTTACATCCTTTTAAAGGACAAATCATTTTTCCTTTATTTATAACTTTTCTTGTTTGTGAATTAAAAAACTAGGGAAAGGAAATTGATAATTTTTATAAAATTCACAAAATCCTTAATTACCCTTAAAATTAAAGTTCTTCCAATTATCTACCAAAAAAAAAAGTTCTTCCAATTTGGGGGATTTGAGGTGAAAAATATCAAAAATTACTTATCTACACTTAGAATTAAAACATAAAAGTTACATAAGTGCGAATCACTTTTTAAATGTGACAACACTAGAAAAATTTCAAATACCGACAGAATTTATCAACGAAAAAAATTCGTCGAAAATAATGAAGGAATTTTTAACGAAAAAAAAATTTCTCCGAAAAAGAGACAACGAAATTTTTTGTCGAAACTCAAGTTGAAATTAGAGACGGAATAAGATTCGGTCATAATCACTGATAGAAAATTTTGACAATTTTTTTTTTTTTGACAAAGTTCTTGACGAAATCTAAATTTCGTGAAAACTTTCAACGGATACATTTATGTCCAAAATATTGATGCAAAATATTTTAGTCAAAATTTTCGACGAAACACGTTTCTTTTCAAAAAAATTGGACAAAAAACATTTCAGTCGAAAATTTTGGACAGAAAACATTTGCGTGGAAAATTTGGCTCGAAAATATTTTTGTCAAATTTTTTTGACGAAATTCTTTTTTCCGTGAAAATATTTAAGAAATCATTTTTGTCAAAACTTTTGACGGAAACTAAATTTCGTAGAAAATTTTGACGGAAAATTTTTTTCATCGAAAATTTCAAAGAAGACATGATATCAATCCGCCGAAAATTTTAGATGGAAATTGTTTTCCAGTCAAAAATTTCGAAAATAAAAAATGTCATCAATCTGTGTCAAACCTCACCTTATGTTATCAATTCGCGCTAAAATTTTCGATGGAATTCATTAAATAAATATTATGTTAATGCCTTATTTTTTGACGGAAAAACAAGATTTTTTATAGATAACATTTTTGTCGCCTTTCGTCGAAAAGTACTTTTCAATGGAAAAATTTCCTCAAAAAATTATTTTTCGACAAAATTTTCGTCGTTTGCAACATAAAATTTCGTCAAAAATATGATTTTTTTAATTAGTGTGAAAAATACATGAATAATTTTTTTAATATATTTTAAAATATTTTATTTATAATAATTATATTAATTTTTAAAAATAGATATAATGATAAAAATATCTCATTAATCCTCCATTTTTCTCCCTTACCATATTTTTAACTCCCAAATAAGGGAAGGGAATACTTATCCCTTTCTTTCCCTCTCTTCCCCTCCAAACTCGCAAACAAAGTCTTATGGTTTGTTTCGAGTCACTCTTAGGACTGAAAGTTAAGGAAGGGGAGGGTTTTTTTGGTAAATAAAAGGGGAAAAAACCCCAAAAAGACAAACTCAAGTTAGTTTAACCCTACACAAATTACAGACGAAAGAAAAATCTGCCAGATACAATGGCAAAATACCAGGAGGAGGGGAAATAAAATAACACATATTATTCTCTACGACATGATCAAGTGGATATTTAGATAATCAATCTGCACAGCTGTTACTTTCCCTGTAGATATGAACAAGTTGAACATCCCAATCTTTCCGTAACCATGCTCGAATGCGAGCCACCAGACCGGACTCTTGAGTTGCTCTCCCCTCTTTGGTGAGCAAAGTGATAACAGAGCTAGAATCACTTTCTAAGATGCAACGTCTCCAACCCCCATTCCAGGCAGCTTGAAGGGCTTTTAGGACACCCCATAATTCAACCACAAAAGCTGAACATTGCCCAATGTAATACGCCAATCCATGAAGCCAAACACCAGAATCATCTCTTAAAATAACCCCACAAGCAGCCCCACCACCATTACTTCTAGTTGCCCCATCAATACTTATTTTTATCCAACCAAAATCCAGAGGATCCCTTCTAACAAAAATGAATCTAAAAGAATTTCTGGCTATCATACTATAATGATTCCCCCAAGCTACAAAATATTCCTTTACTTTTGATTCAATAAAATTCATATTGTAGGCAAAGTAATTCAATTCCTTTCCATGAACAATTTCATTTCTCCACCACCAAGCATTCCAAATAGTAACAATAAAAATCAAAGACCAAGAAACATTAAACCAAACCTGAGTTTTATTCTGCAAATTTCTTAAGAGCCAACCATCTAGATCTGCATCGAAGAATTCATCATTCTCAGGTTGCCTAATCAACTCCTGCCAAAGTCTTTTAATATTACAGCAGTCTCTAGCCATATGCAGAATAGTTTCATCATCTAAACTACACAAAGGGCAAGTAGCAGCAACCATATTTCTCTTAGCCAACAAGCTCCTAGTTGGAAGCCTATGATGAACCATTTTCCACACAAACAAGCTAATCCGATTAGGAATCTTCAACTTCCAAATTAAAGACCAGATATTATGACCATGAATACCCTCCTCCATGTGATTCATTAAAGCATTATAAATATTTTTAACTGTGACCCCACTAGCACCCGGCAACTTCCAAGCAATTCTATCAGCACCATTTGACTCATGAGGATGAATATGACTCCTAATGACTTGGATAGTTTCTGAAGGGAGAAAACTTGATAATTTTGCACAATCCCATTCCCATCACATGTGACATATTCCACAACCTTCTTATCAAGTTCAATATGGGGAATTGAAATAGTAGCTTTGTTAGCTAAAGTGTAATCATCATCCAACCATTTTTCTTTCCAAAACGCTACTGAAGTACCATCTCCCACATCCCATATCATCCTCGGATGCATCTTGTTCCAGACATCACAAATAGATTTCCATAAATGAGAGTTGTCATTCTTGTTACTAAACCCCTCATAAATATTGACAACATGCATATATTTAGCTTTAAGTACTCTAACCCAAAACTGGCCAGACTCATTCAAGAAAGTCCAAATCAATTTACCAATAAAAGCATCATTCATGACAGAAAACTTTTTAAATCCAAGCCCACCTGCAGATTTCAACTTTGTTATCATATCCCATCCAATTAGGTGCATATGCTTAGCCATACTTGAATCATTTCAGATAAAGGATCTCATCATCTGCTCCATCTCATTACAAATGTTCTTAGGGAGCCTAGTGCTTTGTATATGATAGTATGGAATTGAACTCAAGACTGATTGAGCAAGAATTACTCTTCCAGCTTGAGATAAGGATTGACCCTGCCAACTATTCAGCCTTTCCTTCATCCTTTCAACAATTCCAACAAAAAAGGTTTTTATTCACTCTGCCATGATTTATCATTGCACCCAAATATCTACCCACATTGGAAACTCTTTTAAACCCACTAACATCTGTAATTTTTTTAGCAAGATCATCCGGAGTATTTTTGGAAAAATAAATACTAGTCTTTTGTTGGCTCACCTTTTGCCCTGAAATTTCACCAAATAAGTTCAAACATCTGGTAAGAACATGGATCTGCTCTTCACTAGCCTCTAAGAACAACATCGAATCATTTGCAAAAAGGATTTGAGATATTTTAGGCCCACATTTGCCTGCTCTAATCAGATTCCACAAACCACCCTTGACAACTATGTCAATAATATGAGAACGTTTTTCCATAGCTAGGACAAACAGATACGGAGACAATGGGGCCCCTTGTCTAATACCTCTACTAGGCTGAAATTCTTCTGTCAATTTTCCATTCCAAACTACACTGGTTCTTGAACTAGTAACAACTGCCATAATCTGCTTGACAAGATTCTCAGGTATCTTAATCTCCTCCAAGACTAAACGAATAAAATTCCAATTTAGGCAATTATAAGCCTTATCCAGATCAACTTTAACTACCATAAAGCATTTATTCCCCCTCATTTTTCTCATGGAGTGAACAAGGTCTTGAACAGTAAAAAATTGTCTTGAATATGCCTCTGCGGAACAAAACTTGTTTAAGCTGGAGACACCACTTTTAATTTGTTCATAATCGGTTTCAACCTATTAACCATTATCTTGCTAATAATTTTGTATACCACTGGGCATAAAGAAATAGGACGAAACTGGGAAATCAAAGTACGATTCTGGACTTTAGGAATAAGAACCAGAAGGGTGGAATTAATAGAAGCCAACATCTCAGGGTAGCTCCAAATCTAATGTACTAGAGAACATATTTGTGATTTAATGAGCTCCCAATTTTTCTGGAAGAAAATGGCAGGGAAACCATCAATCCCTGGAGCCTTAAAACCACACATATTAAAAACAGTATGCTTAATCTCCATATCAATTGGACATTTATTGAGACAATTCAACTCACCATTCGAAAGGGCAGACCACAAACTATCTGAGGTAATCCATCTTTTATATTTGGCATCTTCAGTAAAAAGAGCTTTAAAGAAATTACAAGCCAAATTCTTTAGCTCCATTGTGTCAAAAATCCAGACACCACTATCATTCTCAGCCTAAAAATCTTATCTGCATTCCTTCTAACAACTGTACTAAGGTGGTAAAATCTTGTATTTCTATCCTCATCTACTATCCACTTCTGACGGGACTTCTGAAACTAGAAAAGCTCCTCTTCACTAAGGACATTAATCAGTAAGCTTTGATAATGATCCTCACATCTCTTCAAGCTATCCGAGTCACCCTGCTCAGGGTTACACTGAATTCTTGCAATTCTATTAATGATACTGTTTTTTCTCCTCTCTATGTTGCCAAACACATTTTTATTCCAAATTTTGATATGCAGAACAAGCCTTTGCAGCATATAGGGAAAATCAAACTCATGATCCTATTTTGCTTTCAGAAAATCATTAAAAAGATGGTGCTCCTGCCAAACAGCAAAAAATTGAAATGGCCTCATTCTACTATCTTTATCATCTTCAAAGAGCTTAATAAGAAGAGGATTGTGATCAGATAATAATCCTGGGAGCGAGGAGACTCTAGCTTCATCACACATTATTCTCCAATCCAGATTAGCCACCACCCTATCAAGCCTTTTGAAAATTCTGTCCAAATTAGCCCATTTTGGACCCTGCCAAGTAAAAGGAGAACCATCACAGCCCATATCAGTCACTTTACATTCATCCAGCACTGAAGCAAATTTAGCACATCTTGATGAGTCAGCCATAACTCCCCCTTTATTTTCATGAGTAAAAGCAATTTCATTAAAATCACCTCCTAAGAGTCAGGGGCCAAAAATATAGTTGCTAAGATTACAAAGATCATTCCACAGGTTCTCTCTCAAATTTTGAGATGGGCTAGCATAGATAGCTGTAAAATAAAATGATTGACCCGAAGGCATTTTAACATTACAATGAATTAGCTGAGCAGTTTTGGATATCACAACTATTTCTACCCTCTTGCTATGCCGCATGATCCATATTCCACCAGCAAAACCAACAGCTTCTTCTACAGCTGAGCTATCATAACCCAATTTTTTTAACAGCTTATTACAAACACCACTTTGGGTTCTAGGTTCAAGTAGAACAATAATATCTACATTATTCTTCCTAACCAAAGACTTAAGAGCGCCACCAAATTCTCTTTTGGCAGCCCCTCTGGTATTCCATATCAAAAAATTCATTAATAACTAGAAAGATTGAATACAGGATTAAGGGATACCTGCACCTTTCCTCCTTGCTGTATTAATCCTTCAGCTCCAGCAATTTCTTCTAAACTGGTACTAGCTTGCCCATCTTGATTTTTATCCACCATCATCACATCTGGAGGCTTAGGATCTGGTCCCTTCCTACTCAAATTATGATTCAGATTCCCATTAACCGAACCTTGGTTTCCATTATTAAATTTTGGTCTGTCACTAGAAATTTTCAACGTTGCTGCAGATTTTCCTTCTCTTTGCATTTTCCTATCATTAGCCTTCTTCCTTTGATTAGATACTCCTTGCAAGGTCAGCTTCTTATTCCCAGTCCCACCCTTTCCTTTATCATGATTTTCTTTGGATAGCTTCATAGGATCACCCTCCTTATTGTCTCCCACTAATAAAAACTGTGATTTGGTTTCAATTAACTCAAGAGCTTCTGATTTCTTACTTTTGGATTGAAGAGAACTTTGATTAGGTGGTTGATAAACAACCATTGTACCTAATTCTTTATCTTCTACCTCTTGGCTTTCCTTACTTCTCAGCACATCAAAATTATTCCCCACCTTCTTGCTTGTCTGAACCTCTTTTCCTTTAGCATTTTCAGTTTTAGTAGGCTGATCACCCCTATTTTTCCTACCTTTCATCACTTGCATCCAGTGGCCAAATTTAGTGTTTGTATCCCCTGAATTTGAAGAAGTATCAGCATGCTTATTCTGATCACCCAGAACATCATCCGTTGGGTTTGAAGACTGCTCAATTTCTTTTTTACTTGGACAATTCTCCATCTTATGCCCATACTTACCACATTCATAACATATGAGGTGCAATCCCTCATATTCAACCTTCTTTATTCTACCATTCACCTTGTACTCAACTTGCAGAGGCTTGCTAAGATCCAACTCAACACTAATTCTAGCAAATCTGCCTCTAGTGAGCGAAGTAGTGGCCGCATCCATTCTAATAAACTTGCCCAGCCAATTTCCTATATTTTTGACCAGAACTGTGTTCACATACTCCATAGGGAATTTTGGAAGTTGAACCCACGCCATAATCCTACTGATTGTTGCTTGAAAAGGTTGGAACCCAGGCTCCCAGGATCTGATCGCTAAGTAATGATAAAAAATAGTCCATGGTCCTGCCGTAAAGGCAAAATCCATGTCTTTCTTCTCCTCAAATCGAACCAGAAAAAAATCATTCTCTAAATCAGTTACCTTTATTCGGCCTTACCTTGCCCACATACTCTATAATCTTTTTTTCATAAATATTAATGATACCTTTTTCCCCATTAATTTGACGAAAATGGATTTGTGCCACGGCTCCCAAGCTCTATTTTTGAAATCAGCTGACAATTTAAAGTTCATTCTTCCATCTGCATCTTCTACTAAAATAACTTCCGAACCGTCCTCTTCCTTTTCTTGCTTCTCCTCTCTCGTATCTTCATTCATCCGATCAATCTCATCTTCCCACTCTCCATTATGCCGCATGGGCATTTCTTTAAATGACATGTTCTCTGACATCCAGCCTTCCTCCCTTGGGACCATAGTTTGGTCATTGCTGAAGAGATCATCGCCACTCTTACTTTTTTTGGTACTTCTTTGGAGGATATATGCTTCCCCCGGTGATCGGGCATGGTCGGCGGTTGAAGACATCGAGTTTTCGCAAACCCTAACAGAGCATTTTTTTACTTTTTATCTATTATTTAGGTCGAGCCTATTTTCCCCCATTTCTCAGAGGTACTTTTCCTTTTCTTAGAACATCGGGTCTAACTTACGTACTTGGGTCTCACCTTTGGACATCCTTGAAAGGTACATTGAATAGGTAGGTGACATACAAAATGATTTATCAGTACCTGTTGTATCTCAGAATCCCCCACACAAGTCAAAAGTTCTCTTTGTCTAACTAAGGGCATACCTAAACATTTTTATGAACCAAATCCTAAAGTAAAAACCAAATACTTGGTTAGATGCTATGTATCTACTCAAAACAAATCTGAATTATATGCTCTAATTGTTAATCAATTATCTAGTGTATGTATTCCGAATAAAGTGTAGAAAGCATTGGATGATCCAAAGTGAAAAGCTACCATGAATGTAAAAATGGAAGCACTTCAAAGCAACAACACATGGGAACTAGTTTCTTTACCAAATGGCAAGACAACAATTAGCTGAAGTGGGTGTTCCATGTGAAACTAAGGGATGATGAGAGTATTGACATATTTAAAGCAATATTGGTGGCTAAAGGTTATACTCACAAATATGGTGTAGATTACCAAGAGACATTTGTTCGTGTTGCCAAACTTAATACAATCCAGATTCTGATTTCCTTGGCAGCAAATAGAGACTGGTCATTAAAGTAATTTGATGGCAAAAATAATTTTTAGAATGGAGATTTGGAAGAGGAGCTATATATGGATGTGCCACCCAGAGTAAAGCTTTCATCTTCAAAGGAAAATGTAGTTTGCAAGTTAAAAAAGGCTCTGTATGGTCTTAAACAGTCACCAAGGGCATGGTTTGGGAGGTTTTCTCTAGCAATGAAGAAATTTGGGTATACACTGAGTAATGCAGATCACATTATATTCTTTAAACACATGGAAGGAAAAATAACCATTCTCATAGTCTATATAGATGACATGGCCTTCACTAGAGATGAGGTCACTTGAACAACACCTAGCCATTGAGTTTGAAATGAAAGGTTTGGGATAGCTGAAATATTTACTGAGAATCGAGGTTGCAAGGTCTAAACAATGGATTGTGCTATCTCAAATAAAGTACATTTCAGATATGCTATATGAGACTGAAATGTTAGCCTGCAAACTGGCCAATACACCAATTTCATGAACCATAAGCTTGGCATCTACCCGAATTAAATTGGAACAGATGTTAGCAGATATCAGAGACTAGTGGGGAGACTTATTTATCTATCGCATACAAGACCCGATATTGCTTATGCAGTAGGAGTGGTGAGCAGATTTATGCATTCTCATAATGAAGATCATATGAAAGCTGTCGTTAGAATTCCGAGATACTTAAAAGGGTTGCCTGGAAGAGGTCTTCTATTTTCCAAAAATGAGAATAGAAGGATACACTGACTCTGATTGAGCTATAAACCAAACCACAAGGCAACTCACTTCTGGGTATTTCATGTTTGTTGATGGAAATCTAGTCACATAGAGGAGCAAAAAACAGAAAGTGGTGGCCATATCAAGTGCTAAAGCTAAGTCTAGAGGTATGAAACATGGCATTTGTGAACTGTTATGGATTAAAAATGTCCTACGAGACCTAAAGTCAGGAAATTATCAGCTTATGAATCTATAATGTGATAATATTGAGATTGTACATAATTCGGTTCAACATGATAAAACCAAACATATTGAAGTGGATAGGCATTTCATAAAAGAGAAGCTGGATTTAAAAATTATTAATACTCCCTACATCAGATAAGAAGATCAGCTGGCAGATGTTTAACCAAAGCAATTTATGGAAAGGCACTTGGAGATATAATTTGCAAGTTAGACATGTTAGATATACATGCACCAACTCGAGTGAGAGTGTTAAATCTAAAAGTCTGAATTCAAAAGTTTAAATTTGAAATTCTGTTGCATCTTAGATAAAGTCAGGAAAATCTTTTGAGTTGTTTTAGGAATGCTTTAAGGAATCTGTTTCCTAGCAATTAAGGGTGTTAAACGAACCAGGGGCCTTTGGCTCGGCTCGTGAAGGCTCGAGCTCGCATGTCTAAAATTAATTGTTGGCACCAGCCTTGAACTTGTATAAAAGCTTGTTTAATAAAAATGTTTTAGGCTACAATTCAAAGCTCGGTCTTAGAGACCCTCAGGCTGGCCTAATATATTATTTTTTACTTTTATTTTATATTTTTTATACTATTTGTAATAGCCCTCTCTTCTTCCTCAATCCATTTCACCCCATTTTATTGGTTAAACAGACTTTTTGAATGATTTTGTTCTATATTATGATGTTTGGATATACATTGACTTTATGAATATTTATGGAATTACTACTATTGTTGATTGTATACTTTGTTTGGATAAATTTTTGTTATCTTATTTTTCTCAAACAGGCTAAACCAGATTTTTTTATTTTTTGTAAATAAGTCCGGCCACAAGCAGATAATTATATTTATAACATGTAACATGGTTGGTCAAGCTAACACATTTAAACACATGCTTAACCTTTTAAAGTTAAAGCTCGGCTTGGCTCGTTAACACCGCTACTAGCAAATAGGTTGTTATGTTGTTACGTCTTTGTATATAAATATACCTCATTTGAGGAAGAATCACCATGAATGAAAAGTGCCATATTACCTATATGAAAGTTTTGACAATTATATTAAAAGTGTGCATGACAACCTTCCCGGAATCAATTCTTTTTTAATTTCTGTTCCTGGGAACAGAAATGGATAGGAAACTCGTTTGATAAAATCGATTTATTTTTTTGTTACCGGGATGAACCGGTTTAATTTTTGAGCTGGGGAATAGAAAAAAGAATAAAAAAAATTATACTTTTTTGTTCCCGGACACAAAATGAGAAACACTTATCCCTCTCAATCACTCTCCACCATCGTACCACTAGTGTCATCGTCACCACCCCTCACCACCATAATGCCACCACCACCTCCACCTATCACCACCACAACTACCACCATCACCCCCACCACAACTACCGCCGCCGCCACCACCACCACTATCACCGTCACCACCACCACCATCACCACTACCGCCATCAACCACCACCACGACGCCACCACTACCATCATCACCACGTCACCAACCACCACTATTATTGTCGCATCCACTACCGTCACCGCCACCATCGTCGCTACCACCGCCACCATCGTCACAGCCATTACCGTCACCACCACCACTATCGCCACCATTACACCACCCCCGCCACTACCATCACCACGCCATTGCCACCACTACCACCACCGCCATCGCCGCAGCCACTACCACCACCACCACCATGATGCCTTCACAACCACCACTACCATGCCATTGCTACCATGTTGCCGCTACCAACCACCATACCCACCACCATTGTTGCAACCCTGCCGTCACCTCCACCACCACCATCCCCACCACTACCACCGTCGCCGCCACCATTACCACCACCATCATCGCATCCACTGCCGTCACAACCACCACCATTATCTTCACCACGTAACTGCCACCATCATTACCGTACCGACGCCGTCGCCGCAACCACAACCACAACCACACCATGTGGAAAGGAAATTGATGATTCAAAATTTTTATATTTAATAGGAATTATTTTTTATTATATTATTTGTTGTGTTATCAAACACAATTTTTTTCTCAGAAACTGTTCCATGGCACATAAATAGAAAAGAATTGTTTCTTTTCAGAAACAGTGCTAGGGAATAGAATGGTTGTCATGCACACTCTAAGAGAATTAAATTAATCTTATTTTGTTTTCAAATGTTGTTTGTTTTATAGCTAGGAACTCACATAAACTTAATTAGATTAAAGTGAATTTAATTTTGTATCTGAATTATTTGAATTATTTTGAGTGTTATTAATTTGTCCATTTAATCTATTATAATTCCGGGTAATAAAATAAAATCTTACAAAATTTATATTGTTTTAAGCATGTATGAAAATTATTCAAACATTATTTTAAGAGGAAGATAAACTTAAATTGGTGCAAATTTCGTGTTCCTCACGAGTAGTTGATTTCACTTACATTTTTTGATTATAATTTATTAATAATGTGAGTCTTTTCACTTATATCTTTCAATTCTAATTTATTAATTACAGATATAAATAAAAATGGTTGATAGTAATTATAAAACTTGTTAATTTAATAATGATGTATATAAGTTAATCCTCCCTCAATTTTCAATCATAGTTGTAAAACTATTAACATCAATAAGAATTAATACAAAAATATAAAATATAACTTTATTTTCAAAAATTTCGATGTTTATTTTTACCTAAACCAATTCGTAATAGTACGGGTTTCCACGAGAAGTTATTCCACTTACCAAAAGTTAAATTTCTTACAATATTTTTTTG